GAGAGTTTACTTTTGGGGGGCGTAATGTGTTATGTAGCATTCAGGGACAATCTGTTTTTTTTCTTTTTTGTGCCGCGGCAGCAGGTGACAAGAGAACAACTGTCTCTTAATCAACATTTAAATGGCCACTTAAATTCTCATGAGCATCCAGATAACTATAGTGCCCACTGGAGTCACAAAGTCAAACAGGACGTTTAGACAGCGTTTATCGTAATGGGGAGTTTCAAGCGGTTGCCATGACCAATAGATTCCTCATAATACCAACTGTTATTTGCGTATGAGTGACTGCATACGTTTTTGTAAGTCAATAAATGCATATGTGCTTGTAGAGTTTATTCTTATTTCTGTCATTTTCACAGCGTTTAAATTTCTTAACACTTTCAGCAAATTCAACTTTTGACCGGCTTCTTCATCTCCTGCAAGATTTTTCATCTATTAACTTGAATTGGGCCACTTCAACAGATCACCGTTTCACAGTTGATTACATTTTCAACACCTCTTAATGAATGTTCACGTGTTTTAACCATGTTTTACATTATGCAGCCACTCACTCAGTTTCTAGTTTTCTATGAAATGGAATTAATTGATGTAAATTTAACTTAAAATGAATTGAGAATAGAAAATAATCAACAATATTGTGTCGAATTATCTATATTATGGTCTGGTCATTTGTTCGCATTATGGCTTCAGAGTTTGGCTACGAGAAATACAAAGTCAGAGATTTGAGAGGAATACAACAACTTGTCTAATAAAGTCCTATAATTGTTTTCAAAAATTTGGACTTGATTTTTTACAAAATACAGCCACAATTATTATAATTATGAGATATATAAGGCTGTAGAGATATAGCAACCGAGACATAAACTGGGGGAAGCTCTTCCAATGTAACAATAAATATGTATAAATACTGTGCAAGTAAATTTAGAAAGACTTGATGAATTGTGAAGCTTCCTCCCATGATGTCGTCAGTTCTAGGACACTGCACTTGCCAACTCTCATCTTTTTATTAATTAAAATTGTCTTCAACTGTAGTAGTACAGTTTCCAAGTGATTTTTAAAAAAAATTTTTAAGGAGACATGCAAAATCAAGTGTTTTGAGCTTTTAACCAACAGACCTTTCTCTTATTAGATCCATAACAGAAAGTTATTGGACATATAACACCTTCCCTTCTGTCTAAAAGGTGAAATGACAATCACATGTGTTTGCAGCCGCTAATTTTCAAATTAGGAACAAATTTAACTCCTTCCTCTGGTGGCGGCATAGGGAGAAACACCCTTCATTTTTGTTTCACTATTATTACCATTTCTTAGTTATTTATATTCATCATTTCAATGGACAAATAATATAATATACCAAAAGTAGTGTGTGTGTGCATGCATGTGGGAGTTGATACGCTTTTTTATCAAGGAACTCCACAATCGGTGCATACGTCAACTCCACAGATTGAACTTGTGGGCACACAGATCAATAGTAATAATAAGAATCCAGCAGTGTATGGATCATAGGTATGTATTCTAAACTTGTGCAATTGTTTGAACCACTGTTTTTGCGCTCTTTTTTTAACCTTGGCCGACATCTTTTTGAGCACTGTTTCACTGTTGGATGACAAATGTCCTTGGATGGAAACAGGAGTGAGATCAAATTCCCCTCTGCCTCTAAATGGAATAGGTGCTGCCGCCTTTGAGCCAAAAGCCACAGATTTTGTTCCAAATGCAAAAAACACAACACGTTCCCAAAAGTGAGAAGGGAACATACGCCTCCGCTCCTGGTCTCCGTGCTGCACTTTTTATAGACCGAGCTAATAGCGCATTTAATTCCCATGTTCGTGTCATCTACCCCCCACGCTTCCCAACACTCGCCATTGTCCTAATTCAAACATGGTACCTCCAGCCGATTCCACTTGATATCAACATGTGAACTTGCCTGATACATTTTATTACAACTATGCTAAAGATAGCAGACATAATTTTGATTGCACAGTATGTCCCTGTAGTATCTTTGGTATATTAGGTGTTTTTCACAATCAATATGTTTAATCAGTCCCTCCTAGTGGAATAAGCATCAGTAAGAAGTAAGATTTGTTTGAGGTGAATATTATGACCAATGGGGCGACTACTACTGATCTATTCTTAATCAACTACTCATAAAAAAAGTGAATAAAAAATCTAATAAATTAGTAGTAATATAAGAATTGGCAAATTATAGGTTGGGCTGGGCAATAACTCGAATTTAGGCAATTAATCGGCTTTTGAAAAAATCTAATTTGCAAAAAATATGAAAATCATGAAATCGAATGAAGGATATTGTGAGATTTCCAGCGGCACATCAATTATACTTGCAAAAAACTGAACTAAAAATAGTTTTGAAACTTGAATATTGAACGAAAAGATCAACAAATATTTTAAGGGCAAAGTCTGTCTTCAGTGACCATAATGAAAATCGATTTAAAATTTAAATCGTCCAAAGCAGGAAATAAAATCGAGATTATCGCCCAGCCCTAACTGTGTCAATTATTTATTTATTTCTATAAAGTAGAAATAAATAAGTATCTAATTCCTGCTTTTATTTAATATTGATTATTGTCTAAGTAATAACCACACTAAATACACACACTTTACTAGACTGAAAACACCACCCTCACATTGTACTGCATGTGTGTTGTTTTGGTTGTTCATTTCTATGCGTGTGTGTGTAATTACATGTTTATTTTCCGATTAGCGAGATTCACTGACCCCTTGTTGTCTTTTGCAGAAAGTGACTTCAAACATGTTACAACAGCTTTCGATGTAAATAAATGTATACAACGTCTGAACAGGCCTTCTATTATGTCCTTAGATTGCGTGTGACAGACAACACCTCATCAGAAATGCACATTCATCTATAAAATAAAATACAACCGCTTTACCCATTAGCACATTCCCTCATCCGCTGGCCTGAAACACGCCTCATGTTGAGTGGCATTTGCATTTACACGCTCTGCTTTCAGCCTTTGTTGTATTATTGAGAGACTTGCACCAGGACCTTTGCGTGTTTGAAAAGAAAAACGATTATTTCAGGTGTCTTTCGTCTAATTAGCGGCGTCCTCGGTGCTCGGCTTGAGACAGGTTGCTCCACGCTGCGAACAGATGGGGCCCGTATGACGCTTTGGCTGACCTGTTTATCCTCCTTATGTCTCCTGTTGTTGCCCACGAATACATTCATTATAAAGTCATATATATGCCTAATGATGCTGAAGAAATACGCACTCGCTGTCTGTGCATACAGGCACGCCTCTGCATCTCTGTAATAAGCTCAAACAGGACAGACATACGAGTCCATACGACCATGGTCCTCAAAGGGCTGCAGGTTTTCATTCCAACCAAGCAGGAGTAGACCAGACTCCACCCATTTCCTCAAGTTTTCAGGTCTAGACCAGAATTACTTCAGAAAAAGCTGCAGCCACACCGGCCCTTTTTGGAACCAGTTTGACACCCTTGTCGTAGATATATTAGATTCGGCCAAGAAGGAAGTTATGTATGAGACATGAGGTGAAATATTTATTCGTCTGAAGTATTAGCCTGGCCTTTGCCATCCGTAAACTCTGGTCAATATCATTTCCCTGCATGTACCGTCTGGGTCTAGTCCCAGTGTCTGCAATTACATAGGTTGAATCCCATCCGACCAATCAGCAAGTGCAGGAGGCGGGTGTTGGAGGGAGATGCCGGTGACGTCAAGAGTTTGCAAGGTTGAAGTTGGCGTGTCGTTGTTTGGCAACAGCGAAGAATGTGATAGTAAAGTAATCCGTTCTGGTTCTATCAAGCAAATTGAAACTGGAGCAAGAGGAATATTTAGCAAATGTAATTGCTGGCAAAGATTGTACCGCTACTCCCCACGGGCTCCGTTAGCGGGAAAGGAGATGGCTAGGCTAAATGCTAGCGACTCACTCTGGCACATTATGCACATCCCGGTAAAACTCCTCCCACCTGTCCTTAGTACGACATGTAAATCACTGGACCTATGAGAGGATATAAATGAATCTTCGATCAGAAGAACCCTTTGCTTCAAAAAGAATGAATCTATAATTTACCATACTGTATATCTTTTATCTGTTTATTTTTTATAATTTCATGCATTTATCTTTATATTTTGTCAATACTTTTAGCATATTAAGAAGGACACACGTATTTCTATTAAATTTGTGTAAGTGTTGCATTCTACCCTCCGGAGTATGAGAATTTAGCTGGTTTTTTAAAAGGTCAGTAAGCGGTCGCAACAGTTTGAGGATCTCATAGTATCTATTGTTATCAGCAAGGCATTTTTTCCCACCAGATATCATATAGGCCGTAAATAATCAGATATCTACCTGATAGAAGATTGTTTATAATATCATATAGGCAGTGAATAATTCAGATATTTTCCTGAAATAAGTGTGTATTTGCAAATGTTCTTTTTAAACCCCAGGTATGAGTTTGTGGAAAATGTCAATAGGCCATCATTTATGAACTCACACACTCTCACTGTAGGCTGCTCACGACTTCACCGTGTGTATAAGAACCACATCTCAATATGCATTCAAATCGTTAACTTTGAACTTCAGGACAGGTTACTAAAATTCATGGGCTTTATGCAATGGGAACGTGAAGCTGATTATCCAGGAGGAGGAAAGCTGGGAATGCCTAATAAAGCAGTTGAATGTAAAAAAAATGCAAATGTCCGTCATGGCAACCACGCTTTTACATATAGAGAAGGTGATTTACTGTTTCATTGGCCAGTGGGGAGTTTTCCTTTCCTTTCTCTCCAAGTCTCAATGTCCTTAAGGTTCATGTTATGGGTCAACCCCTCTGAAGGCGCTAACATGAAGGAGCACACACACACACACACACGCACACACACACGCACGCACACACTAACACACACACACACAGATCTCCCCGGTGTCTGCGTGGGCCACTCCACACAGCCAGGAGTCACAGGTCATGTTTTCCTCGTATTAGAGAGAGCAGAGACCTCCATCTAACACATGTGCCTTTGTCTGCCCTCCGTCTCTGGAACAGGAAGTGCAAACACCTCAGTCGTGTTTAACAAGAACGGAGACGCCCCGGGACGCTACGACCTTTTCCAGTTCCAGATGAACAACCTGTCCGGGCCCGAGTACAAGGTGGTGGGCCAGTGGGTGGAGATGCTGCAGCTGAAGGTAGGTGCTCATGCTCTGTACGCAAATGTGTATTTAAATTCTATCTTAATATTAAGTTTTATTTTTGGATAGTTTATTTGTATAGCGCATTTTACAGACCAAGGTTTAAAATGTTCATAATGTTGTTGGTAACCGCTCTCTACTTAAGTGCTGATTAGTGTACCCTAACCCTAACCCACATTGGAAAGTGTCAGTTAGATGTTGAATGAAGCCATGTGGAATAAGGACTAATAAGTAAGTAGTAAGTAAAGTTTATTTATGTGAGTTAGGGCTATATTATAATAAATTGTAAAGTTTTTAGAGCAGAAACTTCATCTTCTACAAAAATACATTGCATTGAAAGACAAATGAGAAAACAGGGAGATGAAAATGACAAAAATAAAGGAGGTCCCCAAAACACACACAGATGTTTTGCTACTTTGGACTGATCAAGGAGTTTCACGGATTACAAATAGAAGCTTGAGGCTGAGAAGACTTTTCTACAATCAATCTTCGACATACAGAATGCACCAATAATGTTTTATGTTTGGTAAAATGTGTTGAGCAAAAGGTAAGGGGTCAAAAGCATATATTTTGTTTTGAACGATCTGAATCGTGGCCTATGTATCGCGGTATCGGTAAAATTCAAAACACACCCAGCCTTGTGTCACACTATGGAGTTGCAATTATTTCAAATGCAAGGAAATGGTTAATTTGAAGCACTTAAAAAACTCTCAAATGAAATCCCTGTATTATTGGAATGAATGCTCTGGGTTTGGATTCTACGAAGGGTTAAATAGTTAATGAATGACTTATTTCTATCTACTCTTTGATCTCACAACAAGTAGAATGTTTGAAAAGGATCCTTCGACATGCGTCACTTATACAGACTGTTTCAAAGGGATCTTAGCATGCACACTCACAGCTATTACCCATGACACAGTTGTTTTCCTTTGTCATTCACACACTCAAGTTGTTTTTAAGGCCAATGCACACCAGGACCCTTTGGCGCGCAGCACAAGTACCATCTCCTTTAGTTTCAAAGCGACAACACAAACACAGTGCTTTAACCCTGACCCTCCTCTCAAACAGCCTCATGTATAATAATGAGACAGAGTTGGCATAGATTATCACCATACAGCAATTTTAGTATTATAGTATTATCATTGATTTGAATGATGATTATTTATTAATACAGATTTGTTTTTGAATATTAATATTTGGTAATAGTGAAGAGACCCAGGCATCGCAAATGGAACCATGAGACTAAACATTTTCAACAATAAATCTTCAATAAATTAAATATAATGCACCAATAATAATAGTTTTTGTTTTTTCTTGAGCTGAATCAAATCCGATATACTAGGAATTAGCTCAGTACTACTTTAGAAATTGTGTTACTAAAGAACCTAGAACAAGCATTTTCAAGAACTAGCATTGTTGTAACTTAGGCACCTAGGACTAGCACTTTTTCCACCTCTGGAAGTCACTGGACCTGATGATTTACCTGATAAATACCATCTCCTGCATTGAGATTTGTATAGTACTGGGAGGCTCTGAGAGATTTGATGATTCAGAGATTTCTGTATAGCCCTAAATCACAAGAGCAGTCATCTCGGAGGCCTTTCCAGACTTTGGCCACTGGTACATGGGGAGCAACTGACCAATTGTTTGAAGACATTACACATGTCTGCCTGCAAAATAGAGCTTTCACAGTTATGGACAACTGTGAAAGCTCTATTTTGCAGGCAGACATGTGTAATGTCTTCAAACAATTTTTCTACATTAACCACTTTTCACAGTAAAACCTTCCAACCCCCACGCCCTTTATATATAGGATTTATACTCAAACATAACTAAATGTGCAAATAACATGTACCTCTCAAGATATATTTGAACAGACCTTTTCCCTTGTAAAGTATAATGTAAGAACCGAACAAAATCCTTCAAACACAGATTTCATTCAAGGGTTAAGGAATAGCATAAAAGAAAATCTTTCAAAGAATCTGGCTGTAAAAAGCAGCAGAGACATAGAGAGTGGGAGACAGACAGTGATGTTCCAGTCTTGTCAAGGATCACTTACATCTTGCGTCAGACCTCCCATCCGCGGCAGAAGAAAAAGGTGAAATTAAGAACAGTTTTTTTTGCCAAAGTGTCAGGTCCTGGATAGGCTGTTCGCTCTTTGGCAGCGGTGAAATGTTGTCAAAATCTGACACCTAAAAGCTTGGCTCTCCTACGTTTGGCACAGCGCTCCAGTTTTCAGCAAATATTGTCTCGAAACAAATATGAAATTGTGTCGCTATGAGGGACAGTGTATTTGACACGCTCTATATGAAATCACTGCTGCAGGGATTACGGGGCGGGTATGGATTGTTTCATCTGTTATAAGTTTAATTTCATTGCTCAAACATAAGCCACATCAGAAAAGGAATCCATCACCATCGTCTCATCCTCCCAATATCTTTAATTAAATCAAGTTGAATTTTCTTTTGCTTACTGCCGACGCTTTGCAACACGCACAGACAGATGCTGTTGACTTTATGTTGGTGATGACTACATTTAAAGGAGCTATACCCATTTCTGCAAGGTTTGAATGTTTAGCACCGCCCTCAACTCGCTCACAGGCTTCTCATTTCCTCTACGCTCTCATCCCACGAAGCCATCTAGTTTTATTTGCGATCTGATACATATGTTTACATTAGCATTAGCGCAACCTATTGTATGCTGTACAACAATCACTGATGAAATGGTACAAAAGCAACGCACTGCTAACAAAATATATAAATGAAAGATTACCGCTAGTTTCATGTCCGAAAGTAGTCCGAGCATAGACAGTCCGAGGCGGTCCCGCAGGTCTCTCCCATAGACTGTAAGTCTCTCCAGGGGATACCATGTAAGTTAGCTATATTCACCCGGGCTGGATTTCTTCTTTGATCACTTTTTGCCTTTAGTTCCCTCTTCTCTTCCTCACTGTTGTGTAGTTTGGGCTGTTTTGCTGTGTCTGCAGTTACAGAAAGAGGAGTTATAGCCAACATGCTATACATGCTAACATGCTACTGTGTTTAGCAGCGCTGTAGAGGTTAGAGGACGCAGCCTCGTTCTGTGATTGGAGGAGAGCGTGCGTCACGCTGAAGTCTCTACTCAGCACTTTTTACGGCCTGAATTCACACACAGCTGAATCAATGAGCTCAAGTTTTCAATTAAATTACAATTATTTTTTACTGATTTTACTGTTGTACTATGGATTATGTTTTGATTAGTATTCTGTGCAGCACTTTGGAAACTGTGTTTATGAAATGTGCTATATAAATAACGTGTATTGGATTCTCATCAGATTTTTGTGTAGGAGGGAGAACTGAATGTGTGAGCTACATTACAGACATGATGCAGCAGGTAATTCAAGGTTGTTCCTATGTATCAAAGGATTTAACATTATTTTAAAGGACAATCATGCATGTTGAGTTTTTTATTTTATTCTATTCACTCTTAATGCAGTGTATAGTTATAATAGCAGAATTACTTCGCGAGGACACTTTCTTCACAAGGACCCGACTTCACACCAACATTTCTCTAAATTTTTCATACATCTTTTTATTTTGTAGGTCGCTTAGTCTTACTGATTTCAGTATAGTTCTCGTTCCCTAAAGTCTCAGGGCTACCCCTTTTGTGTGTTTTACATCACATTTCTGGAGGGTAAGAGCTGCCTCAAGGGTTAACTCCACAGATAATGAATTCAATATTTTCAATACATTTTATATATTTTTATTTACCGTTTTGCAAAAATCTTTCTTCATCAAAAAGTGTCATCCACACAGTCCTCAAAATAGATCTCTGGTTATGGTTTTTTAATACACATTCTTAAATGTTGCTAAATGTCACAGTATCTTTATCGATCATTTTTAAAGGAATTACTTCACATTCTAAAACTCAAGCAACTACATATTCTCAAAGCATAAACACAAACATAACAATATTCATTTTGTTTTTGAGTGCTTCACATAAAACTGATCCTATCTTGTCTCATCTCACTTGCACGACTTCATTCTCACCTTTATCACCTTTACTCAGATCAGTATAGATCCTCTGCAGCAAATATTATTTCAAAATGTACACGCACATTATGTACCTCACAAACTCTTATTTGCCAACTATATCAACATGCCTCAGCGAGAACAACAGGTATAGAGAATGTGCCATCTCCGGGGGCCATCATAAAAGTATAATTTTATTGCACAAACGCAGAGTAATATTGGTGTTTTGAGCCGAGAGCTGCGATGCTGCTCTTAAAGCTCAAGGTGTGGCTTCTACCTGCTGTAATACATCTGCCTGTCACTGCACACGCACAGGCTTGGGTGATTCATACGGACAATAAAGAAAGCGATGAGGGTTTTATTTTGGGGCCCGGTCATGGATTGAAACTGAGCTTGTAATAAGATGAGAGCAGAGCTAAAAACGTAGCAACAAATGTAAGTCGGATAACAGAAAACATGGCATTTACATAGAGATGAGGTAAAATTTGCATAATGGCTCTCCGGATCCTAAGAATTAAAGTCAAGCAAATGGATTTGATGGTCCAGGTGGAGCATCATCTGCTGCTGCTGCTCTGAGCTCTGCCTGTTTTTTAGTGCGATTACAAACCCTGTCCTGGTGGGAATGTCTGTGCGGCCGCATAATACACAGATGTAGAAAGAAACTAAATAGATTTACTCAAGTACTTGTTTGTCTATTTTCTAAGCATTCAATTGGGATGTCATGCTAGACTTGTCTTTCTAAAGAGGTAATAGATTCACATGAGAAATTCAAAATGGATTAAGCATTTACATTAGTGCTTTTATAGAGAGCCTTTCTGGGAGTTCAAGGTTGAATTTAACATCTGTTTAAAAAAGGGAAAAAGGCATACGGCTAAAACTGGACAAAAACTATCCAAGGATAATACCACAAGGATAATACAATTGTGTTAAATTTGCTATTTCCCAACGGTATGTTCATTTTAAATATAATCAGTGGTCCCTCGCAGGGTT